AGTGTGAAGAAGGACTGTGTGGAGTGGTCCAAGTGTGAAGAAGGACTGTGTGGAGTGGTCCAAGTGTGAAGAAGGACTGTGTGGAGTGGTCCAAGTGTGAAGAAGGACTGTGTGGAGTGGTCCAAGTGTGAAGAAGGACTGTGTGGAGTGGTCCAAGTGTGAAGAAGGACTGTGTGGAGTGGTCCAAGTGTGAAGAAGGACTGTGTGGAGTGGTCCAAGTGTGAAGAAGGACTGTGTGGAGTGGTCCAAGTGTGAAGAAGGACTGTGTGGAGTGGTCCAAGTGTGAAGAAGGACTGTGTGGAGTGGTCCAAGTGTGAAGAAGGACTGTGTGGAGTGGTCCAAGTGTGAAGAAGGACTGTGTGGAGTGGTCCAAGTGTGAAGAAGGACTGTGTGGAGTGGTCCAAGTGTGAAGAAGGACTGTGTGGAGTGGTCCAAGTGTGAAGAAGGACTGTGTGGAGTGGTCCAAGTGTGAAGAAGGACTGTGTGGAGTGGTCCAAGTGTGAAGAAGGACTGTGTGGAGTGGTCCAAGTGTGAAGAAGGACTGTGTGGAGTGGTCCAAGTGTGAAGAAGGACTGTGTGGAGTGGTCCAAGTGTGAAGAAGGACTGTGTGGAGTGGTCCAAGTGTGAAGAAGGACTGTGTGGAGTGGTCCAAGTGTGAAGAAGGACTGTGTGGAGTGGTCCAAGTGTGAAGAAGGACTGTGTGGAGTGGTCCAAGTGTGAAGAAGGACTGTGTGGAGTGGTCCAAGTGTGAAGAAGGACTGTGTGGAGTGGTCCAAGTGTGAAGAAGGACTGTGTGGAGTGGTCCAAGTGTGAAGAAGGACTGTGTGGAGTGGTCCAAGTGTGAAGAAGGACTGTGTGGAGTGGTCCAAGTGTGAAGAAGGACTGTGTGGAGTGGTCCAAGTGTGAAGAAGGACTGTGTGGAGTGGTCCAAGTGTGAAGAAGGACTGTGTGGAGTGGTCCAAGTGTGAAGAAGGACTGTGTGGAGTGGTCCAAGTGTGAAGAAGGACTGTGTGGAGTGGTCCAAGTGTGAAGAAGGACTGTGTGGAGTGGTCCAAGTGTGAAGAAGGACTGTGTGGAGTGGTCCAAGTGTGAAGAAGGACTGTGTGGAGTGGTCCAAGTGTGAAGAAGGACTGTGTGGAGTGGTCCAAGTGTGAAGAAGGACTGTGTGGAGTGGTCCAAGTGTGAAGAAGGACTGTGTGGAGTGGTCCAAGTGTGAAGAAGGACTGTGTGGAGTGGTCCAAGTGTGAAGAAGGACGGAAAATATGTTTCTAAAGGACAGTTATGGATCATCGCTGTAGGCTGTGGTCGATCACCTTCAAAACGTTATGGCAAAAGTACTTTCTTCTTCTCTCTTAGTTCAGGCACATCCAACTGTATATGTTATGTGTGTGTGTGTGTGTCTGTGTGCGTGTGTGTGTGTGTGTGTGTGTGTGTGTGTGTCTGTGTGTGTGTGTGTGTCTGTGTGTGTAATTACACCTTTTCCCTTTTGCTTGAACACATTTTGCCAAATGTCGCTCATTGTCCCAAACTCCATGTGTTACGGCCCTGGGCAACCCCTCCTCCCTCGGGATCCCTGGCCTGTGATTGGACAACCCCTGGCCCTCCCACCTCCCAGAAGTGCGTGACTCAGGTGCTGATTGGAGGAGCAGTGGTCCACCCGGCCAATCCAGTTCCACACCTGTCGGGGCTCGGCCTGAGTGTGGTGGCACCGACCGAAACACATGGTCCTGCTTTGATTTGGTTTGTCTCTTTTTAGTCACTTTGAGGATTAGTTTCTATGTGTGTAAATGTTACGGTTTAGTCTAGGGTTTGTTTTGGTGACGTTGACTACTTTATATAAAACACTACAGTACTTTATATAAAACACTGCAGTACTTTATATAAAACACTGCAGTACTTTATATAAAACACTACAGTACTTTATATAAAACACTACAGTACTTTATATAAAACACTGCAGTACTTTATATAAAACACTGCAGTACTTTATATAAAACACTACAGTACTTTATATAAAACAATACAGTACTTTATATAAAACACTACAGTACTTTATATAAAACACTACAGTACTTTATATAAAACACTACAGTACTTTATATAAAACACTACAGTACTTTATATAAAACACTACAGTACTTTATATAAAACACTACAGTACTTTATATAAAACACTGCAGTACTTTATATAAAACACTGCAGTACTTTATATAAAACACTACAGTACTTTATATAAAACACTACAGTACTTTATATAAAACACTACAGTACTTTATATAAAACACTGCAGTACTTTATATAAAACACTGCAGTACTTTATATAAAACACTACAGTACTTTATATAAAACACTACAGTACTTTATATAAAACACTACAGTCGTTTTCACTGTTTTTATTCTGTTTATCAGTTAGTTTCCAGTGAAGCTCAATGGAACTGTTTTTGTTCTCAGTAGAACTGAAAGGTTACAAATAATATCAACTCAATACAGTACATCACAGTACTACAGTATACTTTACAGTACAGTACTACAGTATACCTTACAGTACAGTACTACAGTATACCTTACAGTACAGTACTACAGTATACCTTACAGTACAGTACTACAGTACACTTTACAGTACAGTACTACAGTATACTTTACAGTACAGTACTACAGTATACTGTACATCACAGTACTACAGTATACTGTACATAAATAAAAACCTCTAATGTAAAACTAGGCAGTTACAGTATATGTGAGTGGGATTATGGATCATGTTCCTGCTCAGACTGTGTCCACACTGTTCCTGCTGTTGGGGAACAGCTGGAGAACCCTGAGAAGGTTCTAGTCTAGTCAGAAATAAGAAACCACACATTGTTACTATAGGTTTAGTTCTTTTTTACAGTAGTTTATACTGTACACAGTACTGTGTCATCTCAATGGTTCAGTACTACAGTATTTACTTTACTGTACTGTATGTTTAAAAAGGAGCAATATCCAACATGCAATACAGTACAGTACTGTACATACTGTAGATACAGTCTGCAGTACTGTAAATACTGTAGATACAGTCTGCAGTACTGTACATACTGTAGATACAGTCTGCAGTACTGTAAATACTGTAGATACAGTCTGCAGTACTGTACATACTGTAGATACAGTACATTACTGTACATACTGTAGATACAGTCTGCAGTACTGTACATACTGTAGATACAGTCTGCAGTACTGTAGATACAGTCTGCAGTACTGTACATACTGTAGATACAGTACAGTACTGTACATACTGTAGATACAGTCTGCAGTACTGTACATACTGTAGATACAGTCTGCAGTACTGTACATACTGTATCTACAGTCTGCAGTACTGTACATACTGTAGATACAGTCTGCAGTACTGTACATACTGTAGATACAGTCTGCAGTACTGTACATACTGTAGATACAGTCTGCAGTACTGTACATACTGTAGATACAGTCTGCAGTACTGTTCCATCTGAAGGTCCTGATGATGAAGCTGTGACTCTCTTCTCTCAGTGTGAGGCTGTGGTTTATCACACGATCCTCCAAAGTTACTCTAATCAGAAATACCTCCAACCACGTCCTCCTCTTCTCTCCTTCTCTTCCTCTTCCTCTCTCTTGCTCTTCCTCTTCTCTCCTTCTCTTCCTCTTCCTCTCTCTTGCTCTTCCTCTTCTCTCCTTCTCTTCCTCTTCCTCTCTCTTGCTCTTCCTCTTCTCTCCTTCTCTTCCTCTTCCTCTCTCTTGCTCTTCCTCTTCCTCTCTCTTGCTCTTCCTGCCTTCATACTTAAAAAGTTCTGAAAATGTCTAAACTGAGGCCTGTTTGTGTCTGGCTGATGTGTGTCGTGTTTTGTAAGTCAGTGTTTTCAAGTGTGTGTCTCAGTGTTTTCTGTCACACAATGTGTTTGGTATTTTGAATAGATGTGTTTTCCCAACAATAACTCAGGATTGCATTTATGAACAAAGTGTCTTATGTATGACACAGTGTGTAGTGAGCAGGAGAAAGTGTGTTGCAGAAAGAGAAAGTGTGTTGCAGAAAGAGAGAGTGTGTTGTAGAAATGAAAGGAAAGTGTAAAGCAGTACTTTTGTTTAAGGAATGGTCAGTCTGTGTTTTAGGTTCAGAACAAAAGTTTCAGGTTCTGTAACTTTGGTCTAAGTGTGTGTCTAAAGTGTTCAAGCAACAGGAAAAAACTGTAAACATCTTGGTTTTTGTGTTACCGCCCTAACCGCACAGAGCTGGGTCGCAACTCTACACACAAAACCCTGACACACACTGGGAAATAAATAAACACATCTGTCTCTAAACTCAAACCCTAGTGTGTTGCAGAAAGAGAGAGTGTGTTGCAGAAAGAGAGAGTATGTTGCAGAAAGAGAGAGTGTGTTGCAGAAAGAGAGAGTGTGTTGCAGAAAGAGAGAGTATGTTGCAGAAAGAGAGAGTGTGTTGCAGAAAGAGAGAGTGTGTTGCAGAAAGAGAGAGTACTGTATGTTGCAGAAAGAGAGAGTGTGTTGCAGAAAGAGAGAGTGTGTTGCAGAAAGAGAGAGTGTGTTTCAGAAAGAGAGAGTGTGTTGCAGAAAGAGAGAGTGTGTTTCAGAAAGAGAGAGTATGTTGCAGAACACACTGCAGAGAGTGTGTTGCAGAAGGAGAGAGTGTGTTGCAGAAAGAGAGAGTGTGTTGCAGAAAGAGAGAGTGTGTTTCAGAAAGAGAGAGTGTGTTGCAGAAGGAGAGAGTGTGTTGCAGAAGGAGAGAGTGTGTTGCAGAAGGAGAGAGTGTGTTGCAGAAGGAGAGAGTGTGTTGCAGAAGGAGAGAGTGTGTTGCAGAAAGAGAGAGTATGTTGCAGAAAGAGAGAGTGTGTTGCAGAAAGAGAGAGTATGTTGCAGAAAGAGAGAGTGTGTTGCAGAAAGAGAGAGTGTGTTGCAGAAAGAGAGAGTGTGTTGCAGAAAGAGAGTGTGTTGCAGAAAGAGAGAGTGTGTTGCAGAATGTTGCGTAACACACATGTGCTTCAACATGCTTTCTGCGGCACCACTGCGCCTGCCGTGTCAGTCTCCGGGGCCGGGCTCCGGGGCCGGGCTCCGGGGCCGGGCTCCGGGGCCGGGCTCCGGGGCCGGGCTCCGGGGCCGGGCTCCGGGGCCGGGCTCCGGGGCCGGGCTCCGGGGCCGGGCTCCGGGGCCGGGCTCAGGCAGGACCGTGTGCCAGGGTCTGTTTTATTCATGTCTTTGGTCTTGAAAACAAAACAAACAAAGATGTAAATGATGCTTCTTTATCCATCCCACAGTGGGGGAATTTCAGTGTTGCATCACAAGGTACAGAGGAGCACACAACACAAGATATTAGCACAACTCTGTACTTTCAAAATAAAATAAAATAGAATCTCCATTTTTATCTTAACCCTTTAATGTTCACTCCTAATAATGTGATGTATTTTGATTGTGTTTGGAAACAGCACTGTCCTCCTTCTACTTTATCTGTCGCATTATTAGGATTTAGACTGTAGTCTGTTCATTGCTATTCACCCGTTGTCCCATTGTCTGTTTCATGGCCCAAAGACGGGACCTGAACCTGGCCTCCTCCATCTACACCTGCGACATTGGTCTCTCCCTATGGTCCAATACCATGTGGTCTCTCCCTATGGTCTCTCCCTATGGTCCAATACCATGTGGTTTCTCCCTATGAACCAATACCATGTGGTCTCTCTCTATGGACCAATACCATGTGGTCTCTCTCTATGGTCCAATACCATGTGGTCTTTTTGTGTTTTAACTGTTGATTCTCTGGTGTTGTTACGTCTCTGAGATGATGCTGTTTTAATTTAGGGAAAAAAAGATTATTATAAATATATAAATGATATTGTATTTTCTAAGATGTAAAATGTACTAATCACAAAAATAATTATCTTTTATTTTTATTTTATTTTTTTGAACCCATAGTTTTTTAATTATAGGACTATACCAAATGGCACCAAATGGTTAAGATGCAGTTTGATGGTAAAGTGCCTAAAACCAGGTGATAGAGATGCCCCAAAGAGGTAGATTTCAGTTTTATCTTCTAAAAGTAGATATAGTGACTCAAGAAAGTGCTCCACCCAAATGTTGAGAAAACTATTGAAGCAAATAGTGTCTGAGCAGCTCGTGTTGTACCTGTGGACCCTGTTGTACCTGTGGACCCTGTTGTACCTGTGTTACTGTAAACATCATTATCTGAAGAACTGAACCTATTTGTCCTGACACAAAAGGAGCAGTCTGTACCCATGTGGCCATGGATACAGACTGCTCCCTGACTCAGGTTGCCAGATATGCAGACGAATCCAGCTGGGACCATAACAGCTGAATAGACGACAGTTTTTTCACAAAGATAGAAATCCTGGTTTTATTCCTTGTTCTGTCGTTAATGATTTGAGAATCATAACGAGACCTTTCTTAGTTCTGCGCCACATGGTACTTTACCAGTGAGATTAGCTCCACATGGTACTTTACCAGTGAGATTAGCTCCACATGGTGAGTTCTGGCGCCCGGATCAGAGACTTTCTGATTGGTGAAACGGTGGAGGGCGGGACATCGAAATGAAAACAATAACAAGATTTAGAGGCTGGAAAAGTAATTTAGAAATTCAAATATCTTTGAACGACTGTTATCAGTTAAAGAAGTATTGGAAAAGAGCAGTTTATTATTATGACAGATTAGGGCCCTTTAATGATGACAGATTAGGGCCCTTTAATTATGACAGAGAAGGGCTCTTTAATTGTGACAGATTAGGGCCCTTTAATAATGACAGATTAGGGCCTTTTAATGATGACAGATTAGGGCCATTTAATGATGACAGATTAGAGCCCTTTAATGATGACAGATTAGGGCCCTTTAATAATGACAGATTAGGGCCTTTTAATTATGACAGATTAGGGCCCTTTAACAATGACAGAGCAGGGCCCTTTAATGATGACAGAGTAGGGCCCTTTAATGATGACGGATTAGGGCCCTTTAATGATGACAGATTAGGGCCCTTTAATGATGACAGAGTATGGCCCTTTAATGATGACAGATTAGGGCCATTTAATGATGACAGATTAAGGCCCTTTAATGATGACAGAGTAGGGCCCTTTAATGATGACAGATTAGGGCCCTTTAAATTATGACAGATTAGGGTACCTTTAATTATGACGCATTAGGGCCCTTTAATGATGACAGATTAGGGACCTTTAATGATGACAGATTAGGGCCATTTAATGATGACAGATTAAGGCCCTTTAATAATGACAGATTAGGGCCCTTTAATGATGACAGATTAGGGCCCTTTAATAATGACAGATTAGGGCCCTTTAATGATGAAAGATTAGGGCCCTTTAATGATGACAGAGTAGGGCCCTTTAATGATGACAGATTAGGGCCCTTAAATGATGACAGATTAGAACCCTTTAATGATGACAGATTAGGGCCATTTAATGATGACAGATTAGGGGCCTTTAATAATGACAGATTAGGGCCCTTTAATGATGACAGATTCTGGCCCTTTAATAATGCCAGATTAGAACCCTTTACTGATGACAGATTAGGGCCATTTAATGATGACAGATTAGGGCCCTTTAAAATGACAGATTAGGGCCCTTTAATGATGACAGAGTAGGGCCCTTTAATGATGACAGAGTAGGGCCCTTTAATGATGATAGATTAGGGCCCTTTAATGATGACAGATTAGGGCACTTTAATAATGACAGATTAGGGCCCTTTAATGATGACAGAGTAGGGCCCTTTAATGATGACAGAGTAGGGCCCTTTAATGATGACGGATTAGGGCCCTTTAATGATGACAGATTAGGGCCCTTTAATAATGACAGATTAGGGCCCTTTAATGATGACAGAGTAGGGCCCTTTAATGATGACAGAGTAGGGCCCTTTAATGATGACAGATTAGGGCCATTTAATGATGACAGATTAGGGCCCTTTAATAATGACAGATTAGGGCCCTTAATGATGACAGATTCTGGCCCTTTAATTATGACAGATTAGGGCCCTTTAATGATGACAGATTAGGGCCATTTAATGATGACAGATTAGGGCCATTTAATGATGACAGATTAGGGCCCTTTAATAATGACAGATTAGGGCCCTTTAATGATGACAGATTAGGGCCATTTAATGATGACAGATTAGGGCCATTTAATGATGACAGATTAGGGCCCTTTAATGATGACAGATTAGGGCCCTTTAATGATGACAGATTAGGGGCCTTTGATGATGACAGATTAGGGCCCTTTAATGATGACAGATTAGGGCCCTTTAATGATGACAGATTAGGGCCATTTAATTATGACAGATTAAGGCCCTTTAATGATGACAGAGTAGGGCCCTTTGATGATGACAGATTAGGGCCCTTTAATGATGACAGATTAGGGCCCTTTAATGATGACAGATTAGGGCCCTTTAATGATGAATGATTAGGGCCCTTTAATGATGACAGATTAGGGCCCTTTAATGATGACAGATTCTGGCCCTTTAATGATGACAGATTAGGGCCCTTTAATGATGACAGATTAGGGCCCTTTAATGATGACAGAGCAGGGCCCTTTAATGATGACAGATTAGGGCCCTTTAATGATGACAGATTAGGGCAATTTAATGATGACAGATTAGGGCCATTTAATGATGACAGAATAGGGCCCTTTAATAATGACAGATTAGGGCCCTTTAATGATGACAGATTCTGGCCCTTTAATGATGACAGATTAGGGCCCTTTAATGATGACAGATTAGGGCCCTTTAATGATGACAGAGCAGGGCCCTTTAATGATGACAGATTAGGGCCCTTTAATGATGACAGATTAGGGCCATTTAATGATGACAGAATAGGGCCCTTTAATAATGACAGATTAGGGCCCTTTAATGATGACAGATTCTGGCCCTTTAATGATGACAGATTAGGGCCCTTTAATGATGACAGATTAGGGCCCTTTAATGATGCCATGAAGAAGTAATATTCGTGACATTCAGTGATGATGTGAATAATGTAATTCACTCGACTGTAATCTGTGAATCTTGAACTGACTTTGTTATGTATGAAGGACCTTTTCCAGATCAAGGCAGGTCAAACTCAGGCTCGTGGGCCAAATCTGGACCCGCAAGACCATTTTTAGTGACCAGTGGTTATGGGCGACCAAGGCATGTTATACATAATCCCAACACATCATTAGAAGTAACATATGAAAGTGTCATTGGTTCAATCTGAACAATAAATGCATTTTGTTTTCAGAAAGACGTCCAAATAATTCATGATGTGAACAATAATTAGTTGATTTTAAAGTCGGCTGCTGCTGTGTTATTGTCCTTACTCATCACCTGTAAACCGCTTTGTGACTCTGGTCTGTGAAAGGCGGTATATAAATAAAGCTTACTTACTTACTTACCTGTCGTCTTTAGTCCACAGCGCTCACATGGGTTTGGAAACGAGGTCAAATAACAATAAATGACTTGAATAAACAACACTTGAACGGATGTAGCATGTTTTTACCCTAGAATGTGCCCAATGTGGTTTTACTGCAAATGACAAGTATCCCCCAACTTCAAATAACACGTTTTTCATTTTAGACTTCAGATGTTTGGTAGATTTTTACTAACATTTACTGAAAAGTTTGCAAAATATTTAGATCCACCAAGAAAAGCAAGAACCAGACATGACACCATCCCATCTGTGATCCATCCCATCTGTGATCCATCCCATCTATGATCCATCCCATCTGTGATCCATCCCATCTGTGATCCATCCCATCTGTGATCCATCCCATCTGTGATCCATCCCATCTATGATCCATCCCATCTGTGATCCATCCCATCTGTGATCCATCCCATCTGTGATCCATCCCATCTGTGATCCATCTATGATCCATCCCATCTGTGATCCATCCCATCTGTGATCCATCCCATCTGTGATCCATCCCATCTGTGATCCATCATGATCCATCCCATCTGTGATCCATCCCATCTATGATCCATCCCATCTGTGATCCATCCCATCTATGATCCATCCCATCTGTGATCCATCCCATCTATGATCCATCCCATCTGTGATCCATCCCATCTATGATCCATCCCATCTGTGATCCATCCCATCTGTGATCCATCCCATCTATGATCCATCCCATCTGTGATCCATCCCATCTATGATCCATCCCATCTGTGATCCATCCCATCTATGATCCATCCCATCTGTGATCCATCCATCTGTGATCCATCCCATCTGTGATCCATCCATCTTGATCCATCCCATCTGTGATCCATCCCATCTATGATCCATCCCATCTGTGATCCATCCCATCTATGATCCATCCCATCTGTGATCCATCCCATCTGTGATCCATCCCATCTGTGATCCATCCCATCTGTGATCCATCCCATCTGTGATCCATCCATCTATGATCCATCCCATCTGTGATCCATTATCCATCCCATCTGTGATCCATCCCATCTGTGATCCATCCCATCTGTGATCCATCCCATATCTCCCATCTGTGATCCATCCCATCTATGATCCATCCCATCTGTGATCCATCCCATCTATGATCCATCCCATCTGTGATCCATCTATGATCCATCCCATCTGTGATCCATCCCATCTATGATCCATCCCATCTGTGATCCATCCCATCTATGATCCATCCCATCTGTGATCCATCCCATCTATGATCCATCCCATCTGTGATCCATCCCATCTATGATCCATCCCATCTGTGATCCATCCCATCTGTGATCCATCCCATCTGTGATCCATCTATGATCCATCCCATCTGTGATCCATCCATCCCATCTGTGATCCATCTATGATCCATCCCATCTGTGATCCATCCCATCTATGATCCATCCCATCTGTGATCCATCCCATCTGTGATCCATCCCATCTGTGATCCATCCCATCTGTGATCCATCCCATCTATGATCCATCCCATCTGTGATCCATCCCATCTGTGATCCATCCCATCTGTGATCCATCCCATCTGTGATCCATCCCATCTGTGATCCATCCCATCTGTGATCCATCTATGATCCATCCCATCTGTGATCCATCTATGATCCATCCCATCTGTGATCCATCCCATCTATGATCCATCCCATCTGTGATCCATCCCATCTATGATCCATCCCATCTGTGATCCATCCCATCTGTGATCCATCCCATCTGTGATCCATCTATGATCCATCCCATCTGTGATCCATCCCATCTATGATCCATCTATGATCCATCCCATCTGTGATCCATCTATGATCCATCCCATCTGTGATCCATCTATGATCCATCCCATCTGTGATCCATCCCATCTGTGATTCATCTATGATCCATCCCATCTGTGATCCATCCAATCTATGATCCATCCCATCTGTGATCCATCCCATCTATGATCCATCCTATCTGTGATCCATCCCATCTGTGATCCATCCCATCTATGATCCATCCCATCTATGATCCATCCCATCTGTGATCCATCCCATCTGTGATCCATCTATGATCCATCCCATCTGTGATCCATCCCATCTGTGATCCATCCCATCTATGATCCATCCCATCTATGATCCATCCCATCTGTGATCCATCCCATCTATGATCCATCTATGATCCGTCCCATCTGTGATCCATCCCATCTGTGATCCATCTATGATCCATCCCATCTGTGATCCATCCCATCTATGATCCATCTATGATCCATCCCATCTGTGATCCATCCCATCTATGATCCATCTATGATCCATCCCATCTGTGATCCATCTATGATCCATCCCATCTGTGATCCATCCCATCTATGATCCATCTATGATCCATCCCATCTATGATCCATCCCATCTGTGATCCATCCCATCTGTGATCCATCTATGATCCATCCCATCTGTGATCCATCCCATCTATGATCCATCCCATCTGTGATCCATCCCATCTGTGATCCATCCCATCTATGATCCATCCCATCTATGATCCATCCCATCTGTGATCCATCCCATCTGTGATCCATCTATGATCCATCCCATCTGTGATCCATCCCATCTGTGATCCATCCCATCTGTGATCCATCCCATCTGTGATCCATCCCATCTATGATCCATCCCATCTGTGATCCATCTATGATCCGTCCCATCTATGATCCATCCCCATGAAGCAAAGAGGAAACCACCAACACAAAGTTTATATTTACATGTTTGTAAAAGACCATCACTGAGTGACAGACAAATGTGAAGTGAAAACTAAACCACTGTGGGACGAATAAAGGAATTCTTATCTTATCTTAAACTAAAAAATGAAAAGTGTGGCCTTCAAATGTGTCCGGCCTTATTGACTGGATTAGTATTCTGGGGTTTGTCTCTAAAGGTATTATTATTATTATTATCTTGTCAGTGTGTATTTCATGTTATATTATGAAGGATGAGAAACAGCGTTGACCAAAAACATCCTGCAGCTCTCGCGAGAGTCTGCGAGAGTCTGCGGCCGCCATATTCTACTGCACTATTTTGATTCGTTTCTGCAGCAAAGAAGCAAAAAGAGAGGACTGGAGCCTGGCGAAGGGAGGGGGCTGTCAATAAGCCTCACACTGTGGCTCCGTGGGTCGGACTGGACTCAGGCTCCTCTGTCGGCTGTTGTTCCCCGGACACAGGCCCAGGGCCTCGGTCTGAGCCTCTTCCGTCCCCAGCTCCAGTGACTGCGGCCCGGGAGCGGTGGGAGTAAGTGTCCGTCAGAACCAGTCATACCGACCTCTGAATAACGTGTGGTGTTGTGAACCAGAGGGACTAAAGGTTCTGAGATCCAGAACCAGATCCAGAACCAGTCTCTTCGTCTCTAACTACAGTTTCACAGTGGCTCGGTTTAGCTAGCTCAGTTAGCCGAACTTTAGTTCCTGTTTTGGTCGGGTTTACAGTTGCACTAAAGTCAATATCTGTTTCTTTCTACTCTCAGAGCCACTTTGATTCACTTTTACAGATGTTTTAACACAGAAAAGGACAAACTATATCTTTATCTTCGTCATTGTTCGTCGCGTTGCGTTAAAGTGGTTCTGATCCAAACTCTACAGTTTCATCAAGACTCTTTATATTTGTTATTTTCACTGCAGACTGAGGCCTGAGACACTGGGGCTGGATACTTTACCTAATCATATTTATACTTGTACTTAATCTTATTTATACTTTACCTAATCATATTTATATGATTAGGTAAAGTATCATATTTAATGATTCATTATACATATGTTAATTGTACATTACATATGTTAATTGTACATTACATATGTTAATTGTACATTACATATGTTAATTGTACATTACATATGTTAATTGTACATTACATATGTTAATTGTACATTACATATGTTAATTGTACATTACATATGTTAATTGTACATTACATATGTTAATTGTACATTACATATGTGTATATTTTACATACTTGTACATGTTGGATAATTGTAATGTTTAATACATGTTCACAAAATGAAAACATGGGATTATTGAAACATTTATTACTTAAAAAGTTATACAAATGTTATTGTGACAACCAACTTTTTCTCTCCTGGAGGAAAAATATGGTTCTCACCAGAGGCTGAAGAGCGACGGTACCGCAGACGGTACCGCAGACGGTACCGCAGACGGTACCGCAGACGGTACCACAGTTGTAGATACTATCCTGCTCTCTGAGCATTTTAAAACTAGGACCACAGGCCAACTTTGAAGAAAAACAAACTTAAAGCAAACGTTATTATGGATTTTGTGAAGAGTCACAGTAAATGCAGGTCTTCAACAAATACTCTGAGACTGTGGACAGGAAATAACATCCACACATTTTAATATAGAGAAATCTTGTTAATAATCATAAATTCAATTGTGTATAGATGCATTTGAACCGATGATTATTGTGTTTTGCCGAAGCCAAACTTTCACCTTTCACTTTAGTGTCAGTGACAGTATCGCCCGTCGACATCACCATGGAGACGGGCAGAAAGTGGGCGGGGTCAAGCAGAGCTGCTATTTCACTGTTAGGAGCATGGTTCCCACAGATACCTGATCGATGGATGTTAGTGCAGGGACCGCTCACATGAGGCTTTGTCACTGCATTTTCACCGTAAGTTACTGACACCTTTAAATCCATTTTGCTTTTAAGTACTGTTGCTCAATGTGGCATTGACAGTTGCATCATACAGCTCACACACACACACACACACACACACACACACACACACACACACACACACACACACATACACATAAAGTAAATCTGACAAAACCTTTCACACACATTACAAAATAACACACTTAGTCCTGTTTGTAATCTATGAGTGTGTGTGTGTAGTCACACTAATCATTCAGTAACAGATTAATTACTTGCTCATTACTTTTTTTCTTCAACTCAAAGGGATGCATCGATCCAGCTTTTTCAAGTTTGATACAATCTCATTCTCTTGTTTTCAATATTGGCCGATACCCGAAATGAACCATTCTAACAGTATTTTTCTCTACTGTACAGCTAAATTGTAACGCTGTTTACTCTAAGTAACAAAAGAAAAATGTTGTTAGTTAAACATATTAACATTATGGGTTCATATTATTATTATTATTATTATTATTATTATTATTGCAGCACGATAAAGGCCTTATCATAAGATCTGCTGAGTATCATCAACCCAATTACCGATCCAACATAATTTTTAACATCTGCACTGATATCCGGTGCTAGTATTGTATTTATTTGTGTATTTGGGACAGTGAGTATGAACAAACGGCAGTGACTGAATGTTACTCAACCCTCACCTGTTGTACATGTTATGAGTCGAAGGGGAAACCGGAGAAACAGGGAGAACATGCAAACTCTACACAGAAAGGCCATGTCTGGAGGTGGATTTGAACCCAGGACTTTGTTGCTAACCACTGCGCCACCGTGTGCAGGATGCAGGAGGCTCTGAGGGCAGGGACATGATCCAGGACATTTAAAGACACTTAAGGACATTCATTAAGATAAGATTTTAGATAGTAATTAGAAATTCCAGTGTTGCAGCGCACAGACAGGACAGTAGACACAGGGAGCACACAGAATATACAGGGCAGGAACTTTTATGTGTTTGTGTTTATTCCATTCTGATGTTCAACCAGTTTGATTCTCTAATCTGTGTTGGTGAAGTCCTCCGAGGTCCTAAATGACTGAAACTAAATAAAATATGTTCTTGGTTCTTCAGATTTATTGGAGATGAAGCCTCTACTCCATGAGTGAATGCAGTTCTAGTGTGGTGTAGAAGAGCGAATGGACCAGGGAAGCCATCACATAGATATTCAGCTTTTGCACGACCTGCGACAACGGTTTCCCCAAGTCCCGGAGGGTGTGGTCTCTCAGTGCCTTTTGCAGGTATAGTTTTTTATGCACAATGTGAAATGGCAATATAGAGTAAATATCCTGAATATCTTCCAAAGAGCTTTCTGCCACACCCCCTTTAGAATAAAATACATGTTTACAATCCAACTTTTGTCGCCGGAATCTTACTTGGTTGTGACGGCTCTTTATGTATGTGGGCCACAGCAGTCCTCAAAGGGCCGCTGTGGCTCCTGGTTGGAACTAAAACCTACAGCTTCACCGGCCCTTTCTGGAACCGGTTTGACTCCCTGTGTGGTGCTATTTTTTAGTTGTTGTGAATTTTCTTGTAGTTTATCACCAGTGTGTTGGGATCTTGGTTCCTGTATGATCCAGACACACTCTGCAGAAGCTGGTCCTTTAAACACTGGAGGGGTCTATCAGGCTCTAGCACATACAAACATGTTACTGATGAGTCAAAGACAGAACACTGGCACCTTAGGAGATGGGGACTGGAGCAAACACCAGATCAACTGTTGCAGTTCCACTGAGAAAATTGATTGAGCGAATAACGTGACTTAATTTCACCGTGAATGGAATGTTTGTGGTTGGGATTCATGAACCGACCGCATTTGTCTCAAATATTTCCTCAGCAGAGCCAGGATGGAAGCTAGCATCCCTCTGGATGATGGTAAATGCACCACAGTGGCACAGCAGAGAGCTCTTGTGCCGGGGTTCGACTGGGGTGTTTTATGTGTGGCGTTTGCATGTTCTCCTCATGTCAGCCGGGTGCTACTGTCAATGAATGTACAATCGGTAAACGTCTGATGCTCAGAGGCTAAAGTGACGTGCTTTGAGGACATCAGTCTGTGAAATGTTCTATAACTCAAGATGTATGGCTTACTTCCATATTAGTAACCTCGCTTACTCTTAACACCAACACGGTGAATTAAACAGACAGTTCATGATCGCCTCCCGGGAAGTGGGCTTTTGTTTCAGCCAATAATAGATCCACAAATCCATCGCGCTGCTTTCTGCCTCCTTCTCTGTTGCAGACGCGGTGTTTCTCTCTGCACTATGAGCACGTGTCAATCGCACCATAACACTTCAGTTTCATACTGTCCCTCAAAATCATAGCAGTATTACTGTTTTCTAACACCCAGACCCACTGGGAGGAATCTTGTTTCAAACTCATTTTCCATCATTGTTCCCTTGGAAAGTCTTACTGCTTGTCTTTGAGTAACATGTTGTTTTTTCTCTTCTACAGAATAACAATAACTTGGATGCATGTTATGCTCACCTGTCCCAACTGAGTCCAGGAAGACAGGACAGCGTTTCGGAAGATTCCTCTTTCACGCTATTCCAAAATCACATGACCCAGCTGAATCTGGGTGTGCAGTGTCAGAATGTATCTGATGGCTTGAGGATGAACGGTAGCCAGACATTGGCCCACAGCCTGAGTGACGGGCCCTTCCAGGCTGCACTGGCCCCTAACAGCCAGTCTTTTGACCAGAATTCTCAGTCTGCTTTGCCACAGACCCCTTCCAGCCTAACAGTGTTCGGTGTAATGGAACCACCCCGAAAGCCGCAGCCGCCCCAGCACTTGGGACTTTACCCTATGGGGGTCAAAGGAACTCCTCGCTTCAATCCCATCACAGTAACTTTGGCACCAAACATTCAGAGCGGCCGCAATACGCCCACATCTTTGCACATTCACGGGGGGTCACAGGCTGGGCTCGGGAGTCCCCAAGGCAACTCCATCTACATCCGGCCGTACGTGAGTCAGTCGGCGAGTATTCGGGCCGTTCCTCCAAGTGCACGGGGCCAGTACAGCCCCACCTCCCAGCCGCCCCAGCAGATGCCTTCCTTATCCAGGGCTGTTACTCAGAGCTCACAGGGCCATCAGACCTCACATGTCTACATGCCCATCAGCTCGCCCACCACCCCTCAGGCTCCCTTCATGGGGCCTTTCGGGAGCCAGGGCTCGTCCTCAGGTGTGTCGTCGTGCTCGTCCACCTCCTCTGTGCCTGTCAGTCAGTATAATATTCAGAACATCTCTACAGGACCTCGCAAAAATCAGATTGAAATTAAGCTAGAATCTCCCCAGAGGACCAGCTCTTCCAGCACGGCTGTGCTCAGGACGCCTTGCCCCAACTCCACTTCTGCGCCTTCTGCTCCTTTGAGCATGGGGGGCCGAGGCCAGCCCACCCTCTGTATCTCCGCCAGTCCCCCCACTGCTATTGGGGTCCCTGCCACCATTGGGGCTGCCCTGACCCATGGCAACTCGCGCTCCCAATCTCGTTTTTGTATCTCGGCTAATGCTGCAGCAGATAGTGGTCTGGGAGGTGCCCCCACTGTTTGCATTTCTGCTGGGCCTCCAGGGGTTCCAGGCTCCAGGAGTATGGGGGGTCAGGTGAGCATGGGCCCGTCATATATTCATCATCATCCACCCAAGTGCCGCAGCTCTGTGGGAGGAAACACTACATCGTCTCCTCGTGTGGTGGTCACTCAGCCCAACACCAAGTACACTTTTAAGATTACAGTATCCCCTAATAAACCCCCGGCCGTTTCTCCTGGAGTCAAGTCTCCCACCTTTGAACCCAACAACCTCTTCAGCCTCCCAGCGGACCACCAGTTTGCTGAGCCGGATCCTCTTCACCTGTCGGACCCTCTGTCCTTGACACACGAGAGGCAGAACGAGCCTCGAAGGCTCAGCATGGGCTCTGATGATGCTGCGTATACTCAAGGTGAGCCGCATCTAAGATTCAGTATCAAACACTACATGACCCTTTTCTGTCGACTTATTTATTTATGATATGTCATGTACTGTTTTCTTTTCTTTCATCATTATTCTGTAACAATGTTTTCACAAAAACACACACATACAGGTCCAATACTTTTACTTCTTTAAAAAAAGTTCTTTAGGAGTAGAGCAGAGAAAGAGAAAGCCGCTGTCAGCTCAGAGTGAAGGGGAGAGGGCTCAGATCCTGATTCTCAGTTTCATTTAATCCTCAGTTAAAAGTTTCTGGTGATTGGAAGGAACTGTTTGATGCACGTTTTTTTGTACCAAAACATTCTAAAACGAGAGGATTACAGTTAGTAACACTGTTATACTCTGAGCCTGAAGGTTGTGGTAGACACTTAACCCCACTTTGCCTGAAGCACCCGCTGTCAGTCCTCCTCCAGTGGACTCAGCACCTCCAGGAGGATCAGGGGCTGGTGCTCTGACTGCCGCCCCCAACCCAGAACTGGATCAAGGGGAAGAAGATGGATGTATAATAATGATAAAAATATAATAATGTATTTTTTGGCACTTCTCAAAAACAGTGTTTACAAAGCGCTCTACAGTCGTTATTAACAATGAAAATAACCAATAATACAAAGTCAATAAACTAGTGAGTCCATTGCTCCAGCTCAGTCTGCACTGGCACAGAGGGACAGGTGTTTGGGGCTAACGTTGCCATGGCGATTCCCTGAGGGCCAGAGACAACAGCGTCACTAAGGCTGCTCCATGCCTCCACCTCCTGAGACTCGCCTGAGAGTGGCCACAGCCAGATCCCAGCAAAGTGCCAAACTGTTGTTGTGTCCTTAGGCAAGACACTTCTCCCACATTAGAGGTGGTGAGTCCACAGGAGGATGGCCGCTCTATTACATAGCCTTGATCTTTCAGGTCTTCAGTGTCTTGCCCAAGGATACAACGACAGCAGACATCAATGGAGTTTGTGGAGAAGGTCTCATGCTGGGCTCGAACCCAAGACCTTCAGGCTCAAAGGCCAATGCTCTACCAACTGAGCTACTGTCGCCTCTATGCTTGAATTAAAGTATTTTAAAGTTTGACACAGGTTGGAGATAAACTCACACATCGACACAATAAGTAAAAATCTCCAAAGTAAAGAAAAACCCACTACAATCTTTGGACAGAAGTATGAAAATGCTGAGATTGTTGCTTGTTCTTCCAGCGTTGTTGGTGCACCAGAAAGCTAGAATGGACCGACTGTGGCACGAGCTGGAGTTGAAGAAGAAAAAACTGGAGAAACTAAAGGAGGAAGTGAATGAGATGGAGAACGACCTCAGCAGACGGAGACTGGAGCGCTCCAGCTCCTCCCAGGTCCCTTCGGTAAACACACTCTTACACCTGTGGGACTTGTGTTCACGTTAGTTTACACCTGTGGAACTTGTGTTCACGTTAGTTTACACCTGTGGGACTTGTGTTCACGTTAGTTTACACCTGTGGAACTTGTGTTCACGTTAGTTTACACCTGTGGGACTTGTGTTCACGTTAGTTTACACCTGTGGAACTTGTGTTCACGTTAGTTTACACCTGTGGGACTTGTGTTCACGTTAGTTTACACCTGTGGAACTTGTGTTCACGTTAGTTTACACCTGTGGGACTTGTGTTCACGTTAGTTTACACCTGTGGAACTTGTGTTCACGTTAGTTTACACCTGTGGGACTTGTGTTCACGTTAGTTTACACCTGTGGAACTTGTGTTCACGTTAGTTTACACCTGTGGGACTTGTGTTCACGTTAGTTTACACCTGTGGGACTTGTGTTCACGTTAGTTTACACCTGTGGGACTTGTGTTCACGTTAGTTTACACCTGTGGGACTTGTGTTCACGTTAGTTTACACCTGTGGAACTTGTGTTCACGTTAGTTTACACCTGTGGAACTTGTGTTCACGTTAGTTTACACCTGTGGAACTTGTGTTCACGTTAGTTTACACCTGTGGAACTTGTGTTCACGTTAGTTTACACCTGTGGGACTTGTGTTCACGTTAGTTTACACCTGTGGAACTTGTGTTCACGTTAGTTTACACCTGTGGAACTTGTGTTCACTTTAGTTTACACCTGTGGGACTTGTGTTCACTTTAGTTTACACCTGTGGGACTTGTGTTCACGTTAGTTTACACCTGTGTACGACTGTACAAAGATGGACAATGCTAACCCTCTAGCTCAATGAAGCCCATAGGGAAGTGCTCATAGACAAAGTTTTGTTCCAACTCTGGCTTCTGTTGACTTTCTTTGAAAAGTAAAGTGCTCTGGCTCAGTAACTGTCTCTCTCTGATTCTGGTTTTTATCTTTCGATGCAGTCTTTGTAAATCCAGATATGAGCCGTATAAGGATGGACCAATCAGATTCGTGGGGGAAACTCCAGCTTGCCTTAGCAACCGTCTTAGCAACGTGTCTGCCTCTGTTACGACATGAAGCTAATGCAGCTAAAGTTGGCTCCAGCTATCTTATTTACAAATGGGCTTTGTCTAATTCAATTCACTTTATTCTTTTATCGCTCCAAATCACAACAGAATCATCTCGGAAACAAAACCATTGATATCACCAACACAGACCACATGGTATTGGACCATAGAGAGAGACCACATGGTACTGGACCATAGAGAGAGACCACATGGTATTGGACCATAGAGAGAGACCACATGGTATTGGACCATAGAGAGAGACCACATGGTATTGGACCATAGGGAGAGACCACATGGTACTGGACCATAGAGAGAGACCACATGGTATTGGACCATAGAGAGAGACCACATGGTACTGGACCATAGAGAGAGACCACATGGTATTGGACCATAGAGAGAGACCACATGGTATTGTACCATAGAGAGAGACCACATGGTATTGGACCATAGGGAGAGACCACATGGTACTGGACCATAGAGAGAGACCACATGGTATTGGACCATAGAGAGAGACCACATGGTATTGGACCATAGAGAGAGACCACATGGTACTGGACCATAGGGAGAGACCACATGGTATTGGACCATAGAGAGAGACCACATGGTACTGGACCATAGGGAGAGACCAATGTCCACATTTGGTGAACACTATGGAGGCGTCAGTCCACTCCTAATAGGTGTGTGTGTGTGTGTGTGTGTGTAAAATGCAGTGCTTCCTGTTGGACTGTTGCTTACTAGAAAAATGCAGTGCTTCCTGTTGGACTGTTGCTTACTAGAAAAATGCAGTGCTTCCTGTTGGACTGTTGCTTACTAGAAAAATGCAGTGCTTCCTGTTGGACTGTTGCAGCAGGAAGTGTTCTGTGAGTGACCCTGATGTCGTTAACTGCTGTATAATGTGTCTAGAACTTATTATACTCTACAGGAGTTAAACAGCTGATTTGAGGTAGTTTGTGTTTACAGCTGTGGGGTCATGTTCTTTTTGAATCCTAACATTTGTTTCTGTATTTGTTATGTTTTTCCTCCAGATCGAGGAAATGAAGCAGTTGAGATGTAAAAACAGGCTCCTGCAGATTGACATCGACTGTCTCACCAAAGAAATCGATTTGCTTCAAACAAAAGGTTCATCCATCGCTCTTTTCTCTCCCCGTGTCACTGCCAATACTTTCTCTCAAGGCTCCACGTACTCTACGTACTCCACATACTCCACATACTGTACATACTCCATACTCCACGTACTCCACGTACTCCACGTACTCCACGTACTCCACGTACTCCACGTACTCCACGTACTGTACATACTCCACATACTGTACATACTCCACATACTGTACATACTCCACATACTGTACATACTCCACATACTGTACATACTCCACATACTGTACATACTCCACATACTGTACATACTCTCCATACTCTACGTACTCCACATACTGTACATACTCCACGTACTCCACATTGTCAACATACTGGTCCCTGATGGAGGTCCCTGTAGAGACCAGTTTTTCCAATGTGGTTTTACTGCAAATGGCAAAAAAAATGAATCTGAATCAGAGACCAGAGAGAGCAGAGAGCGAGAGAGAGCAGAGAGCGAGAGAGAGCAGAGAGCGAGAGAGAGCAGAGAGCGAGAGAGAGCAGAGAGCGAGAGAGAGCAGAGAGCGAGAGAGAGCAGAGAGCGAGAGAGAGCAGAGAGCGAGAGAGCAGGAGCGAGAGAGCAGAGAGCGAGAGAGAGCAGAGAGCGAGAGAGAGCAGAGAGCGAGAGAGAGCAGAGAGCGAGAGAGAGCAGAGAGCGAGAGAGAGCAGAGAGCGAGAGAGAGCAGAGAGCGAGAGAGAGCAGAGAGCGAGAGAGAGCAGAGAGCGAGAGAGAGCAGAGAGCGAGAGAAGAGCAGAGAGCGAGAGAGAGCAGAGAGCGAGAGAGAGCAGAGAGCGAG